ACATTGAAAACCCTGCCCCGGGGGTGCTCTATGTGAAACCCCATGATGAACCCCGTTTGTACGTGCACAATCTGAACAAAGAGTGTGGCCGGACGAGTTCCCACTTGCTGACGTCAGCTTTCTCCCTTTATCACCTCAACCTCACCATGTTAAGGAAAGAGCTGGTAGCGGAACAATCGCACCACCATGAAACTTTACGAGTTAGGCGCTGCGGCGAGCAGTGAGAGGAGCGGTGGCCTTGCGCGAGCAGGTCGCCCTTTCCTCATGTATTTTTGTGTTGCGAAAGAGGTACATCCTGAATGTTTGGCAGGACACGCCCAAAGAAGTCGCCTGCATTAAATGAACACGTCTTGGCGTGTACTAAGATTCGATGAGCACCATCACTGAAGACACATTCCCCATTTGATAGGTAAAGTCATTTCCTCGTTCAGCTAGTGCAGTATGTAGTCACAGAGGTTGCTCCACTCTTACGCCTCCAGAAGGCGGGACGAAGGCGCAACAGCCATCTCAAGCAGAAGCACTCCACCCACAGAACCACTGAGCCCGACTAAATGAGAATATAATGGGATCAGAGCTCTGAAGTGTGGAAACGAAAGTGCTGCAGTGGAGACACTTTCCGTTTTCGCCAATGACCTGGCACGAGATAAGCCAGCAGTCACAGCTCTAGAATATGACGCATCGAATCATTCTGTGAAAAACCCACCTGTGGTCTCCTTCACTCCTCAGTACGTCTCCCCATCCTTTTACCTTTGGCCCCAGATATCCCGTCCGCGCAGCAATGCGTTCCTTCTCAGAATGAGCGTCTTCAAAGGCTCACCACGCCTTTTTTCGCTCAATGGTGGGTGAACTAGCATCTACAAACTTATATTTGGGGCCAATCCAATGTCCACCGGAATGTAATGGCGCAACGTTTCCTGTGAAAGATGAACTGAACGCACCTGTGTTCTCAACATTTCTTCTTGCAACCGCTGAATACGTTCGTCGGGACTTTCCTTAGTTTCTTTCTCGTCGTCTTTCTTTGCTCCAAAAGCTGCCATGAGCGAGAGAAGTGTTGCTTCTGGAAGAACCGGGAGTTTTGCTTGGCAACAGAGACAGCTTCAGAAAAAAGGAAGACATGGCAGATATTTATAGCAATCTATACCTTTTACAGGTTTTGCGCCTTCATCAGAATTACTTCCTTCTTCGGAAGAACGCGATCCTGCAAATTGTTCACAGAAAATACACATGAACATGTTTGGCGAGATAATTTTACCTCTATCTCTTCGGAAATTTTCAAAACGGGCAGCCCATTCTGCGAGCTTTGATTCAGAACCTTCTCCGCCAAAACTCTTCTTCATGTGGGATAGTTGTTCGGACAAGTCTTGCCATATGGCTTTGGTGTCAACGTGAGCCCATTCCGGTAATGTAAAATCTGGCAAGCTCGCTTTCCAGTCATCGTACCACTGTAAATGTGAAACAGGTGATTTTGCAGGCGTGTAACAAGCGCACAATTTCAGAATCAGGAATACTCACATTTCTCGCAGCGCAGCTACACTGCCTCCAATTACTCCAGTAGCTACGAGGTAGCGAAGCTTCAGTAAATGGCGCGCTACTCCAACAATAAATTGCCGTTCCGCCTGGATGCTAAGTGCGACATGCCGTTGTAGAAGCCTGCACGGAGATTATATATGCACAAAATCTGCTGGCACCCGGTTCTCAATTCATATTAATTCTCAATTTCCTTCCTTTCAGTTTCAAATGGAGTATATTCCAAATAAGGTGCTTGCTTCACAAGGCAACAAACGATGTGAGCACGATTGTGCTGTTATACTCCCTAAAAACCATCGGAACGAAGTGCCGCGCTGCTAAGGCGGCATCTCGATCAGTGATGACATCCAGCCCACCACAATTGGCGGGAGCTGTTCTCACTGCGAACCAACTCACGCCCTCTCACAGCGCCTATCGTTTTTCTGGAGCATACTAGCAGGGGTACGGCGTTTGGCGCGATCATTCTATCATCGAAGTGCCAAAATATGTTACACCATCTGCGTTCCGGTTAGGGTAGCTCGACCAAAAATTTTAACTTGCATTCCAAGTCAATAAGCAAACCATAGAAAAGAACACTAGCGCCCAGCCCGAGGGCCAACCTCAACAGCATTATTTAAACTATCAATTGCGAGAACCTTATATTCCCCGATTCAGATGACTTATCCAGCTTGGTAGCTGCACCATTACCTTCCAAAACACGTAGACGGCAATGTGTTCCATTGAGTACTGAGCAACTGAAAAAGGTGTTCCACCAAACAATTAGGTTTTCAAGGAATAAATGAAGGTTTCCTGACAGTTCTCAACATTCTAACCTATTTCTTTTCTAATTCTTATATGTTGTAAGAAACTCCGGTGAGTGCTCGATGGGAAATGTTAATCATTGTGGAGAATATACCAGGGAATGAAGTTGTTCCTTCATTGAGCTATGGTTTCTACAAAAATGGGTTTTAGTCTCAGGTATACCTTGACAATGCAATGTATTGCTGTGGTTAATGTGATCAAAAAACGGAAACAGTTCCATGGTTCCAAACAACCGAAAAAAAATGTGGCAGTCCATTCGCTAGACAACAGTTTCGGAGAAAGACGGCTGTATTGAAGTACTAAGGTACAAAACATCATTGTCCGCAGTGTTTTCCGTTTGCTACAGCAACAGTAACATACGAAAAAGAACAACAGCCTCTTCCGGCACGTTTTTCAAACAGAACCTCTGCCCAGCTGCGCACAGTTATGCGAGTGAATCAACAAAAATAGTCTGTGTTCACTTCCGAATATATAACACTTAGCTTGCGCTCATAACTTGGCAATGCGTAGAATCCGCGGTCTTGGCCAACTCCAGAGGCGGCCGACTAAGCGGGCGAAGAAAGACGACCAGACCAAGGCGTAAATGTGACAAAAAAGTACACGCATCGATCTGAATAGTCCCTGATTTGGGCGGACGCGCTTTTTGAGAGGACCAGTGACAAACGAGTAAGTGGAAACCGACCAATGTCGATTCTGCTAAACCCGCTGCTTTCTGCGAAAAAGTCGGAGATGGGTCATCCGATCCACTTACTAACTAGGGAAGGTCGTCAGGTCGAAGTGGCCATTTGTGATGAGATGTAGATCACTAGACGTGGTTTTGGACGCTGATCTTGAATCTGCCTTCAAAATTTGCAAAGCGATTCTCTGAACGGAGTTATGGAGCCGCGTTTACCACGCAACAGGTCATGGGATCGGATCCCTGCTGAGCTTAACTTTTTTGCTTGTTGCGCAAACGTGGCAAAAAGTGATTTTGCCGTCACTACTACTTCAGTTCTCACCTGAGCTTGTCTGAAGAAAAGTTTGCCTCCATTTATTACTGCGCTTGGACTCCTTGTAGAAGCACTGTAGTGCACTGTAGTCTACAAGGAGTCCAAGCGCAGTAATAAATGGAGGCAAACTTTTCTTCAGACAAGCTCAGGTGAGAACTGAAGTAGTAGTGACGGCAAAATCACTTTTTGCCACGTTTGCGCAACAAGCAAAAAAGTTAAGCTCAGCAGGGATCCGATCCCATGACCTGTTGCGTGGTAAACGCGGCTCCATAACTCCGTTCAGAGAATCGCTTTGCAAATTTTGAAGGCAGATTCAAGATCAGCGTCCAAAACCACGTCTAGTGATCTACATCTCATCACAAATGGCCACTTCGACCTGACGACCTTCCCCTAAGTAAGTCTCAAAAAAACGTTCTTCTTTTCTTTTAATGTACTGACCGACATCGGTCTATGGTCCTCTACTTCGTCAAGTCCGAAGAGAATTCAAGAGCTACTTTCTATCTCAGATCAAATGGCTCCTCGTAGAGCTGCACTGCTAATTGTGATACTGGCTACAGATTGTTAGCGCGTCGTTGTAAGGCCGCGTTCACACATGATGCAGAAGTGCTGAACCACGGAATGTGCAGAACTGGAATTTGCAGACGAACTGCGGAATTGGGAGAACCGCGGAACTTGCAGAAAAAGAAAATATGTCTATCGATTTCAAAAACCGTGGAATATGCAGAAGTGCGGAATTTGCAGAAATGCCGATGGACCGATCGATCCCTATCGCTTCTTTGTCCGTAATTTCTGCATTTCTGCAAATTCCGCGGAATTTGCCGAAGTGCAAAATTTGCGGATTCTGCATTTCTCCCAATTCCGCACGACGGCAGAAACGAACCGATCGATCCCTATTTCTTTTTCCGTCATTTCTGCAAATTCCGCGGAATTTGCAGAAATGCAGTTTTCAAATCGATACGTATGCATTTCCTTTCCGCAATTTCCGTCATTTCCACAACGTCGTCATGTATGAACGCGGCCTAACGCTGCGAGGCTGAATAAAAGCGACATGGACACCCAACATGGCATTACGATTCCGGAAACTTGCCAGCAAAGAGTGTTTTCAGTCATTGAGTAGGTCGAAACTCACGACACTTGAACCAAAGGTTGAACCACATATTTAAATAACGCGTTCCTGAATGATTAGTTTACAGCAATATTTACTTCGATAATTTCAGAAAGTACAACGATGTGAAACACGTTTAGATGGCAGTCCAACATGGGTGCCCCCATGCAAGTGTGGGTAATGCACGTCTTACTTATATAGGAAGACGACAAATACTGCGATCAGGTGAATTCTCATTACGGAGATGCCATGAAGATCAGGTTTATCACCGCCGAATGGTCTGTCTTATCATCACCTCCGGATAGTTTATTAATTTTTTTTCCAGAGCCAGTATCAGCGAGAGTTGGAAAGGCTCGAGAAGGAGAATAAAGTCTTGAAGCAGCGTCTTCTTCTCGCTGACCAAGGTGCTGTAAAGCGCATGAAAAGATTAAAGGTATAAGTTCAGGATCGTTTCGTGAATTTGTTGAGCCCCTCGAAAAGGAGAGGCAAATAGCTATGATTATATCGAGAAGCTTTGAGGGTTCAACATATCCATCTATTGATGCAGTTATGTTTAACTCGATGAATAGCGATTTAATGAGCTAAATTTCTCCTAGTCATAGTGAAACTTAATGTCTTATTCATACCAGTCATTTTTTTTATTTTAAGCGTTCACTTATCGACATGTATTCTGAAGTGCTTGACCTTCTCAGTGAATATGATTCTTCGTATGATACTGCCGACAATTTGCCAAGGGTTGTTGTCGTTGGAGATCAAAGTGCAGGTATGTGATCGTATGTGTATGGTTTTTGAGACAATTTTCCAGTGTCTTGGTGGGATATTTTCAAATGAGGAGTGTTCCATTACACAGGTAAAACCTCTGTCCTTGAGATGGTTGCTCAAGCTCGTATTTTCCCGCGTGGATCTGGTGAAATGATGACTCGGGCGCCAGTGAAGGTGAGGCTGCCATAATATCGCTCTCTTATTGAAACCTGAAAATTATTCTTTCCTAGGTGACCTTGTCAGAAGGTCCGTACCACGTCGCACAGTTCAAAGACTCGACTCGCGAATTCGATCTGTCCAAGGAGGAAGACTTGAGGCAGTTAAGGTCAGAAATTGAGGTCCGAATGAGGAATTCTGTTAAAGATGGACGCACTGTGTCTCACGAAGTCATAGCTCTCACTGTGAAAGGTCTCTTGTTTGTAATGGTCCTGCTCGTAGTTCTAGTTGTTATAATATGTTATTGTTCTTTTTTCTAGGTCCAAATCTTGCGCGAATGGTACTGGTAGATCTCCCTGGCGTGATTTCCACGGTAACTGCGGACATGGCGAGAGAGACCAAAGACGACATAATCAAAATGAGCCGCTCCCACATGGAAAACCCGAATGCGATTATTTTATGCATTCAGGACGGGTAGGAGTGGAATTGGGCTTACTTTTCAATGGATTTGCTGAGAGAACTGTTTGCAGCTCCGTCGATGCTGAACGTAGCAATGTGACTGATTTAGTTAGTAGTATCGATCCTGCTGGCAAGAGAACCATTCTGGTTTTAACGAAGGTATGCTATATATGCTGTCACTTTCAAAGCGTTCAGTCGCCCCCAATTAACTGTATTTTTCGTTTTGCAGGTTGATATGGCAGAGAAAAATTTGACCAATCCTGATAGAATAAAGAAAATTCTGGAGGGAAAGTTGTTCCCTATGAAAGCACTAGGTTATTTTGGGGTAGTAACGGGTCGTGGCAACAGCGCAGATTCTATAGAGCAGATACACAAATACGAGGAAGAGTTCTTTGCTAACAGCCAGCTATTGAAGTGAGTTCTTGTTTGCAGTATTCCACACCATCTTTTTCACGGTGGTCAAGACAAGTTGATACTAAACTGTGGAAAAAGTAGTGTTACAGAGATGGTGTTCTGAAGCCCTCGCAGATGACAACGAAGAATATGTCATTTGCGGTCTCAGACTGTTTTTGGAGGATGGTCCGCGATTCAATAGAGAGCCAGGCTGATGCTTTCCGTGCTACAAGGTTTGTATTTTCAATGTTTCCAATGGCACATCATCTTGTACAGCCTCCTGTAGCGGTAACGAGAGTAAGGATTGCACACTTCTGTTACAATTGTCGGCACTATTCAACTATTACTACCCCAGTTTTGCGAAAACAGGCCGGATCTTGATCGACTTTTTTCTACGGGGGCAGATTTGGCTGAAATTTGGGTTTAGGGGTAATTCGACCTCCTGAACACGAATATCACATCCACTTGGCCTGAAAGTGCCTGGCGCCCGCGCCACAGGCGCCAGTGATTAGGGCATTTTGGCGCCGGCGCCTGTGGCGCGGGCGCCGAGCGGTTTCAGGCCGAGCGGATGTGATATTCGTGTTCAGGAGGTCGAACTACCCCTGGGCACAAGTTTTCAGCGGATTTGGTGATCTAGGGTACTTTGGCGCCGGCGCCTGTGGCGCGGGCGCCAGGCAGTTTCAGGCAAGTGGATGTGATATTCGTGTTCAGGAGGTCGAATTACCCCTAGAACCCAACTTTCAGCCAAATCTGCCCCCGTAGAAAAAAGTCGATCAAGATCCGGCCCATTTTCGGAAAATTGAGGTAGTAGTAGTTGAACAGTGCCCAATTGTCTTATGATAAAGGAATCTTCGCTCGCTGAATCGCCGACGGATCATCGAATATTCCAAGCCGCTAGTGACCGGCGCCAATCAATACCCATCCATTCCTTTTTCGCGCAATCGCTCCAAACGCCGAATCGCTCGAATACCGGATCGCTCAACTCTCCTCATCGCGAGATTTGCTACCTAACACCTCCAGGTCACTACAATCTTTCTGCGGGCGTGCCAAGTTCTAGATGCGCCAAATTCCGCTGAAGCGTCAGGCAATTTCAGGCGAAGTGATGTTATAATTCCGTGTTTCAGGAAGTCTGAAATTATCTCGCTAAATACTGGTAACATTTCTCAGGCCCAATTGCGATCTGCCCGGTGAAAAAGTCGATGAAGGCTTGGCCCATTTTTTCGGAAACATTGGAGGTAGAAGCTATAATGAGTGAAGCAGTGCCAATTTGTCTTATTGATCAAGGATCTTCGCACTAATCGCTGCTTGCACGAGGATCATCGAATATTCAAGCGCCTGAGTGAGGTGCAATGCAATTACTGCATCCATTCTTTTTCGCTGAAATTCCTTAAACGGCCTAATAAATACGATTCGCTCGACATCAGCCCGGATCGCTTCATTTCTCTCTCAAATTCGCTTAGATTGCTAGCTAACTCTTGTGCACTCTAGTCACTCAATCTTTCGAATCATTTGGTTTCCCGAATCGACGAACTCTTCGGTCTCAAACTATGAACGCGGCCTTATAAAAGGGTTTGTGGGATGCAACTCGATCCTTCGGACAGCATCAGTTTTCACTCTTATCAGTGCTTTTTTTGCCTTTTCCTTTTGGCTCTTTGCAAACACTGTTAGCTCGTGCTTTTCAACTTTTGAAACAGCAAAAGACACCTCTACCACGGACCCTTTTCTTTGGAAGGCAAAATCCTTGATTTGTCATATCCTCGTTCTTTTTAGTATCATCTAAGAGCTGTGGCTTCTCTAATCTGTCTGCATCTTTTCCTTTTCCTCAATACCCTGGAAAAAATTTCAAGCAGTCGCGTAACCTCAAATAAGTCGTATTCTCTAACAAATATTCTGCAGCAATTTCGACTGCATTGAGGTCTCTGCATGTGTGGCCGCAGAGGTGATTCAAAATGGTATACACTGGTAATTGTAATGAAGGGTAATTTGAAAGTCGGGAAATAAAAGCCTTATGTAGTCTGAGCTTGCAGTGTAGGCAATTGCTGTGATGTATATAGAGGATATTTCAGGTTCAATCTTGAAACGGAATGGAAGAACACTTTTCCACGTATACGACAACTTGATAGAGACGAGCTGTTCGACAAGGTTTGGTATAGCGCTTATTATTATGTGTAGCGCATCAGCGCTTTTGTGCGGTGTACCTCACACCTTATACCGTTATATCTCGTTATACCTTTTGTTGGCCCACAAGTTATGTGTATTCATCCCATTCAAAATTTAAGTTGGGGAGAAACGTAGGTCAACCAAACGCACCTAATTTGCATTGCATTGTTTGCTGTTTGTCAGTGTTGCAAAATTTCAAACTAAGGAATTCTATATGTAACTTCAAAATAACTTCAGGCACGCGGTGAAATCCTTGATGAGATTGTGAACCTCTCTCTTGTAAGTGCCGAGGAATGGGAAAAAGCTTTGGAGAAAAAGCTGTGGGACTGCGTTTCCAGTCATGTTTTCGATCAGATTCTTATGCCGGCATGGGTTGTGAATAATGCAGGGTTGGTTTTTCTTTGGTGACAGGTATTGTAATGTCTCGAACACCTCTTATTATCTCCTGTAAGAAGCTCTCAGCTTGACGGTAGTGCTGAGTGCACTGATTTTCTCATTCTGGAGGAGTAACTCGTGGAAATGTTCCAGTCCATGAACAACGTTCTTTTTCCGATTTTCTTGTTTGCTGTGCTTGTTCTCTTGATGTTGGGAGTAATTCGTAGAACAGCGTTTAGTCTTCGCGATGACGCGCATCGACACGCTGTAACTCACGTCGACGCGCTACCATTGCAACCGCGCACCACTGCTGTAGAGGAGAGCGCAGCCATAGGCGTACTGCTTTGAAAGAGTAAATGTTCTGGGGGATTATGGAACAATAGGAGGAGGCGAGACTGTATGACAGAAGCTGCAGGCCAAAACTGATACCTTTATATGGCCGCGTTATCGTCTGTAGCATTGAAACGCCGCTGCATTGGTAGCGCGTCGACGCGCGTCTTCGCGAAGTCTTAACACTGTAACCTCTTACCTTTTTCGAACCTAGTTGTGTCATGTGTGTTGCTCACGTTTATACCAGCGTCACACATTATCTCCAAAACCGCATGAATTCTTTGGAATCGGCTTTGAAATGACATGTTGCTTCTCAAACTCACATTGCCATCACTCTTTACCCCATCTACGTCTTTTTTGATCCATTGAATGTTCTGAATAATGTCACCTATTTTCCAGAACTTTTAACACCATGGTCGATATTCGTCTCAAACACTGGGCTGACAAAGAACTTCCGCTTAAAAGTGTGAATGTGAGTGGCTTTCCCGCACTGGTTGTCATTCCCGCTTTCTCTTCACTTAAAAAGTAGTTATCTCCCTTCTTGTTCAGTACCACCTTCCCACCTTTACTTACATGTAAGTTTTCAAGTGTTTTTAGTGTGGATGGGAGACATTACGAGAGGTCTTTTGCCGGCAAGTGAAGCAGAATGGCACGAATCAAAGTGACCAGGATCCAATATTTGACCCACTTAAGGACGCTGTTATACAGGAAGCCATGTCAACCCATCACTGGGATAGCAAAGCGATGGATTATTTAGTAGGTGTTGTTTACCAGAAGTTTATTAGTGCCTTAAAGGAAAAATTGCATCCAAATAGTGCTGCTCGAACCGAGACCTGGGCACGTCCCGCAAACTTTATGAAGTGCGACTCTTCCCCTCAGAGTTTCCTCTTCTGATACGACCCCTTCCTCCATCGCCTGTCCTGTTTACTATCTTCCTACCACTTTCCAATCTTTTCCTTTCTTCTGAGGGAGGGGGGATATAGCGCACGGGATACGAAAACAAAAAAAAACGAGAGAAAAAACCAACGAAAATATCTTTTAAGCAAGTACGACCCCACACATCCATCTCCCGGCGCTCAAGTGCCACCCCTCGGTACGACATGACCTGATGGAGAAAGTCATCTTTGAGGGTTTAAATAGATTAATTGAACGATTGAACAATTACAGCGTGTAATTCAACTAAATGCTATGGAGGATCGCGCGGTGCAAGATCGGAGGGCGTGGGACTCGGCTTGTCAATTTATGAGCAAGGTATGCTCGATTTTTGTGCTGTACATGTCCATGTTATTGAAAATAATTTGCTTAGGCTGCATCAAGTAGATTAGCTGCTGTCAATCAGCAGTTGAAGGACGCTCGTGGACCAGGTTTCATAAATCGTTGGGTGTTTTGGCGCACTCCATCAGCGGACAACCATTTCGCCAGCACTATTCAAGATGAGCTTGCACCAATGCTTGCCAATGAAACAGTAAGAGGCTTTATGGCGATTCCTGAGAGAAATACTGAAGGGACACTTTTATTCAGGAGCCCAAACAGTCGTTGTCCGACGAGGATGTTCTGGTGATCAAGCGCAATTTAGAGACAAAAGGAGTTATAGAAGTACCAACAGAAGCGATTCGGCGTCAATGGAATCTCTTATACAAGAAACATTTCTTAGAAAAAATAATTCAGGTTCCCATTTTATTCTTATACTAGTCGGCTCACCGGCTGACGCTGGCGCGCTTCCTTCTATGATGCGGCTGTGATACAGACGCTGCTTCGCCGCGCTTACCTTCCTTCTCATGTATGTATACCCAATTACTATTCGGCTTTTTTTATCTGAACAGATAACCAACGCTCCTTGACCAATAACATCATACCTGCTATTTTCAACACTATTACTGTGCATGACATTATGGTAAGGAGCATTGATGAAGTGCAGAGATGACAGAAAGCCGGGTATCAGTCGTGCATTCAAACGTACGAAGCAGGTAGGGTAGACGAAGCCAAGCCTGCCCGGCAAGGCCAGGCCGTATCACAGAAGAGGCGCGCCGACGTGAACCGGCGAGCCGACTAATGCATTTACGACGACCGGTGGTTAAGTGCATGGCTGCCGATGCACTGAAGCTCAGTAAAAGTAGGCAGCTCGTGCTTGAAGGCACGCACAGCCCACTGTGGACGGGTCTCTATACACCACAGACGCACTCAACCTTCGCTGTATGTTTCTTTTCTCCAACGACTTTTTGCAATCCCTAAAGTCACTCAGGTCCGAAATATAAAATCTCGTAGCAAGCACGCCCCGCCAGTACGTCCCGCCCATTTTGAGGATGTCTGCCCCATTTCATCCACTAACCCCTTGTGACCTTCAGTCCACATGTGCCCGGTGTATGCTGAACCGCAAGCAACTCGTGAATTTTTCACTTTTGCCCCTGCCACCTCGAAAATGGGCGCTTCGCTCACAGTGGGCGTGTGCTTCGCTCACAATGGGCGTGTCTATCTCACTTCAATGGCCGAGGACTTCTACACCTCTGCTCACCTTTGCCGGTGTCTGGGCCCTAGGAACGTTTCAAAGTCTTTTTCGTTCGCTCCCCCCCCCCCCACCTCTCCTCACGCTCCGCCCACAACGGGTGTGCCTCGTACTTCTCAACAGGTGACCCACCGCTGACATTAATCCACTTTTTCCAATGTCTGGAGTGCTCTGGAAGCATTTTACGAATTTTTTAGTCTTTCCTCCCACCCCTCGCACGCTCCGCCCACAACGGTGTATCTTGCACTTCTCAACGGGACCACTTGGGACCATAATCCACTTTTTCGCGTCGTCTGTAGTGCTCTAGGACCAAACTACGATTTTTTTTAAATTAATACCTTACCACTCATCCTCAGATGTTTGTCTTCGCCATGGACTTTTTTGCAATCTCTAAACTCTCTCGGGGACCGAGTCTCGAGTACATTTCGAATACGCCTCCTCCATTTGATGGGTCAACCTCTTGCTAACCCTGTCCCACTTTTCCTCCATCTCGGAGCTGCTCTGTAGCTGAATTATGAATTTTTTCAGTGAGAACTTTCAACGCATGCCCCGCCCACTGTGCGTGGGGCCCACCATGAGTTACGGTTGCTCTTTACATCTTGTCCACATGCTCTACCCATCCCCGATATTGATCCCACCTCTCCAAGTTGTTTTTCTGGTAGAACCGAATTTCCGGACAGACAAAGCAAACATATAAACAAACAAACGAAGCAAATTACATATAGTGGGTGATTTTTTAGGAAATGCAATGACATATGTACTCTCTGTTTCAGAATAGTCGTGACTGTCTGTCTCTGTATCAGCATTATCGCCAAGGATTCAATGAAGGCGATATTGATTGCCAAGCCGTTGTGCTGTTTTACAGGTGTGCGCTTCATTAAATTTTTTCGAAGTCCAGTTGCGAGGTGAATTATTGTGGTCCCGGGGCCAAATGAGCACTATGCGGAGACTTTCTTCCCTCCCGAGTTCGGTTGTCAGACTTCTTTCCGAGAAAAAAAAACTATAAGTCTGTATTGTATTTGCTATGAGAGGCATCGTGTTATCTTGCAACGAATTGCTGGAGCGGTCACATAGGCAGCTAGCACCACTAATTACATCTGGTCCGGCTGCCATAGGAATCCTGCCCTTGCGGCGGTTTACCGATTGGTGGTCACCGGGCTAAGTGCTCGAACGATCCGATCGCCTGATGCAAACGATCGTATGGCAAATGTGAACGTCCTCTTACTATCAATAGTTATTTGAAGGAGTCCTCAACAAAAAAGGAAGGTGTATCAGACGTAGTGTAATTTTATGCGTGATCCTGATTTTTTTTATATAGCTAGCAAGTTGACTACTTTCAAAATGATATATTTAGAATCCAGCGAATGATCAAACTAACATGTAATGCTCTCCGACAGCAAATAACTAATGCTGAACAACGTATGCTTGAAAAGGAAGTGAAGGTGTGCCACTATTTTTCCTTTTTACTTTTATATTTCTGCTACGGAATGTGTTGTAGTAGTTTGTGTCCAGTATCGTTATAGTGGAGCCATAACTGGAGAAAGGTACTAGGTCGAATGGGTTTCTGACGAGTTAGATCCTCAGTGACGGTCAAATAGCCTTTATCTGGGACGTCAGATGCCAGGCCTACCGTAAACGTCTGTGCAGTTTTTTGTTTCTTTGACAGGGTAGACCCCAGAGGTGATCGGTTTTAGTTTAATTTATATTAGGTTGTCG